ATTCTATCGTGGATCGAGCTATACATGTTTGTTTAGAGGATTTCCAAGATACAGCCGCACTACCAATTGTAAAAATATACCCACTAGTGGATTTTGAGTCTTTTGTATATGATATCCATTTAGCATCACTGTATCATTTTAATACAGCTGGATATCTCGTATAATGTAATCCAATATTTGAGGTGTATCGTAGATATCTAAGAACCCTTACAAGTACATTCCAATGGTCATTATTTGGAGTACTTGTATATCTACTAAGTTTGTTCGCTGCATATTCAATATCCGGACGAGTGCAATTTGTAATATATATTAGACTGCTTATTATGTACTCTAATTGAAATACGGGTTTGCCTTTATGTTTGGCCAAATGTAGACTTAAGTCTACCGGTGTTTTAATTGGACTTTCATCATATATATGAAACTTTTTTAAGTATAGTCTCAATGTAGTGAGATTGAGATAGAACAAGTCCCTTAAATGTTTTAAGAATTTTAATTCCTAATATTACATCTACAATACCCATATATTTCATATCAAAATATTTTGTCAATATTTTCTTGGTAGTTGTTATGATATCACAACTACTACCAATAATTAGCATGTCATCAACGTATAGACATACAATTACATATGTATGACATACAATTACATATGTATTAGGCGTGGTTTTAATAAAAAAATGTTTATCACACTTGTTAATTTTAAAACTATTTGACAACATAGTTTTGTCAAATTTTGCATGTCATTATATTGACATTTGTTTTAGTCCATACATACACAACTTTTTCTCATGTCTAGGAACAATGAACCTTTCAGGTTGTTCCATGTAAATTTATTCTTTTAGCTCACCATTTAAGAAAGTTGTATTGACGTCCATCTAATGGATTTCCAAATTATGCAATGCTGCGATAGCAATTAATACTCTAACTGATGTTGTCCTTGTCACATGTGAGTATGTATCGAAAAAATCAAGACCTTTTTTTTGTTTGAATCCTTTAACTACCAATTTGGCCTTATATTCATCAACTGATCAATCAGTCTTTAATTTTCTTTTGAAAATTCATTTACAACCTAACGATTTTTTACCAGGTGGGAGATCTACCAACTCTCAAGTATGATTTTGTATAATAGAATTAATTTAACTATTGATAGCATTTTTCCATAATGGAGCTTCATTGAATGTCATAGGTTCATTTTCTAACAAATAAGTTAAAAAATTTGGACCAAAAGATGTAGATGTTTTGGTCATTTTGCTACATCTTGGTTCTTCATCACTCTGATGATTACCAATTGTAGTATCCTAAGTTCATTTTTGTGAACTAATCTCTTTCATACCCTTACAAGAAAAATTGATCTAAAAAAATACACTATTTCTAGATTCAATGATAGTATTTCATGTACATCCGGAATGTAAGACTTCTGTATGAGGAACCGATAAGTACTACTGCTATTACCATATCCAATGAATATGCAATCGATTGTTTAACCCTATATTAACTTGTTTAGACTTTGGTATTTCTACCTTAGCCAAACAGCCCCAGACTTTTAAGTATTTGTACGAAGGTTTATGACATTTCCATAATTCATAAGGAGTTTCGTTCCTACTTTTGTGTGGTAATTTATTTAAAATGTGGTTAGCTGAGAGAATTGCTTTCCCCCCATAAATTTTGAGGTAAACCAGAACTAATCAACATAGCGTTCATCATTTCTTTCAGAGTAGAATTTTTGTGTTCCGCAATACTGTTCGATTGAGGTGAATAAGGAGCCGTAGTTTGATGAATAATCCTAGAATCTGAACAAAATTCTTCAAACGATACTCCATATTCCCCACTTCTGTCACTACGAATAATTTTTATTCGTTTGCTTAGTTAGTTCTCAACCTCATTCTTGTACCGTTTAAATGTTTCTAAGACCCCGTCTTTGCTCCTTAGCAAATAGACATAACAATACCTCGTGCAATTATTTATAAAAGTAATAAAATACTTTTTACCTCATCTATTTTGCACATACTTTAAATCACAAATATCACTGTGAATTAGTTCTAGAGAATTCAAATTCATTTGAACTGAATGAAACGATGTTTTTGTTAAATTAACATTTACACATGTTTCACACCGATGATATTGATCAAATGAAATAGAAGACAATAAATCTAAACTTACTAATTTAGGTAAAGTATTAACATTAACATGTCCTAACTTATCATGCTATAAGTTAGAAAACTCAATCAAGTAAGTAGAAGATTTATTTTTATTAATATCAAAAGTACGAAGTACATGTATTACATTCATTTTGAATAGCCTATTGTCTAAGTACCCCCTGCCACAAATATGCTATTTTTGGTGAGTACAAATTTATCAGACTCAAATACTGGCTTAATCCATTTTTGCTTAACAAAGCTCCAGATACCTAGTGTTACTTCTTTCCCTGATGTCATCTTCAACATTACTTTACCTAGACCAACAACTTTTGATGTTGTCGAGTTGCCCATTAATAGTTGTCATCCATTGATAAGAGTGTAAGATGAAAACATCTCATTATTAGCACAAACATGATGAGTAGTGCCAGTATCTACGAACCATTCTTTCAGATTGTCCACCATTTTTGCTTCAAATACAACAACTGAGAGCATTAGTTCAGACACACCGTTAGACAATTTGTCTTCCTCGATCAAGTGTAATTGGTCATTTTTGTTTTGCTTTTACTGTCGACAGTCCTTTGCAATGTGACCAGGCTTACAGCAATTATAGCAATCTCTCACCCGAGTGCTTCCTTTTCTTGCTAGTATTTGACTCCATCAAATTGACTTTATCCTCAATTTGTAACTTTCCAGATTTCTTTTCAGAATTTCGATCATCTTCCCCAATTCTTAATCTTACAATCAAATCTTCAAGTCCAATTTCCTTGCATTTATATTTCAGCTAGTTCTTGAAATCTTTCCACATTGGTAGTAATTTTTCGATAATTGCCGCAACCTGAAATGACTCACAGAGGTTCATACCTTCTGCATGTATATCGTACAAGATGATTTGTAGCTTTTGGACTTGATTCATTATTGTTTTAGAATCTACCATTTTGAAGTCCAGGAATTTGACTACAAAGACTTTCTTCAATCCAACATCTTCCGTTTTGAACTTCGTTTCCAATGACTCTCACAGTAATTTAACTGTCTTGAATGCACTTTATATGTTGTATAGTATGTTGTCAAGGTAATTGAGGATGTAGTTCCTGCACAAGAAGTCACTATGACTCCATGCATCAAATGCTACTCATTTTTGAGGATCTGTATCCTCATCTTCAACAGTTGGAGCATATTCACTCAAGAATTTTGCTAAATTCGGAGTTGTGAGATAAAACAACATTTTCTGTTGCTATCTCTTAAAATCTATTCCCATAAATTTTTTCGATTTCTCTCTGTGAGCATTGTTAGGGGGTATGCCATATGTAGTATTACTTGTCATTATCGTCTTAAGATTGTTGGCAAATAATGATATTACCGTGCAATAATATGGGCAAATAACGACTTACAAAAATGAACGATATAAAATGCTAATAGTAGAGGCAATAGTTCGATTTTTTTCTCCTGCTGTCGGTATTTCGGTACTCGTCTCCCAAAATACAACAACTTCAACTTGTAATAGTAGCACTCTAAATTACAAGACATGGTGAATCTACTCACGTTTTTTATCTCTCTAAAATTGGATGACTAAAATGCACGAAAATAACTTTCGAGACCGACATGCAAAAAATGGAATAATGTAGGGATTAAGGAATATAATTTGGACGAAGAACAAAATCAAAATTGATTTTAGAATGAATAAATCCACGTACGGGGATCTTTATATAGAAGTTGAAAACTTGTGTTCAGAAGACACAACAATCGAAAAATTGTGTCTTCAATAGACAAGACATGTTTGGAAATGCAGTTTAACTGTCAACCGCCATTTTCAAGAAGAAATCACGTGTCACGCACAAAAAATTCGGGGAAAATAAATATATCTTGTTTGGACAGACAGTTTAACTATCAATCGACAGTTTATAAAAGATGCCTTCGTGTCGCGTACAGAATTAGAGGAAAAATAAATAATATAAATAAATATATTATTATTTTAAATAATAATAAAATAATTTAATTCAAATATCATTTTACCAAAAAAAATGTATATTAACTTGGCCTAGCCCAACCCATGACCCGTGCCTGTCGGTCGGACGGCAGTGACAGCGCATGCCTGTGGGCTTTGACTCAACCTACTAGCATATATGTTCTCTCTCCTTCAAAGACTATTGGTATCCATTGAGACCCAAACCCAAGTCCCAAACTTGAGCAATATAAAGTGGTTTCTATTCTTCTAGTTTTCCTATGTGGGGTTGTCATTTTTCAATTTCCCACTAATTTGTATTCCCAATTTATTTCAACTTCAAGTTGACATCTTTTAGCCTTAATTTCTCATTCACCCTAAATTAATTTTTAGAAAATAAATACATTACATTAATCTACTCATGTAGTAGAACACACTCGACTAAATAAATTTTTTTGGTCCAACTAACGGGACCTACTAAAATAATTGGTCAAAATTTGATCAAACCAACTAATTAAAACCAATTTTTCCCAACAAAAGGTACATAAACAAAGGAAAATATTAGTAATATCCTCACGTGAGGAAAATGAAAGTAAGGGTTAGAACCTTTTTTATGATACACCAATTACCATTAGAAGCACCCACTACCAAGAATTGAATTCAACCAAACGTGCTTTCCTTAGAAAAATTAGGACCCTTGAATTTTCTTTATTAAGGTGGATAGGACAAAAGCCTAGATGAGAGGGGTAAGTGGGTGAATCTACCAATGGTGGTTTTAAGTTATCAACAAAGCAATTTATGCTCTTAGACTTAGTAGATTTGAGGTCATGTCCTGATCTCCAACTAGAAAAGAAAGCGAAACTCTGCTCTTCAGATGTGTTGACCAAATGCTATAGGATCAGATGGAAGGAAGGTGAGGATACATGATTGATGGCTTTCAAAGAGCTCTGAAAAGGTGCCAAGTGATGCAGAGGACCCCTATAATAGAATGCGAAATGTTGAGAGGTTCCATATTGTCAAGAACGAAGGGAATCACTTTTGTACATGATCAATGGTATGTTTCGTACCGTTGCATACCTATGCACTATGTTTCAGTTCACTCATAAGGAAGATAGAGTTAGGGTAAGGGTCTAAGACTTAATACTCAAGTATGACCCATGGAAATACATGCTAACTATGGATAGAAAGTAGGAACTATCATATAAATACTTTTGAGGTATTATAGATCTCGTCCCCCGCATGAAAATCCCTTGCAAGGGACGACCACGCTAACCCTTTGTCAGCCCCTTATCTTTTTCAACACAAGTTAGGCTTGTGTGGGGTTATTAACGGCATTAACGTGGGAGTAGACATGAAGCTTAGTAACAGAGTACTGTTAAGAAACCAAGTGACTGATTTCTAATAAAATAAACTGTAAGAACTAACTTGACATTTTGCTGCAACTTTGGGAACCAAGTCTTTATTTAACCCTCAAAACTATAATAGACATTTTCCATTGGATTTGGAGTGGGAATGGGGTAGGGTGATGTGGGGGTGGGGTGGGGGTGTCATATTCGTGCAACACTTTTGTTCCTTTTACAAATATGAATGTAAAAGAGAAAGAAGTTCGCTCCGAACACTGGACTTTTGATAGTGATTAGATAAAATCAGCCAATAGATTTTAGTTAATTAGTTTGAGTAACAATTACTTAATTAATAGTTGCAATTTGGGGACCAATTTGATCTTAATTGTTATCTCCGCCTCGCCAATCAAATGCTTTAAATTAGAGGGCCATTCAAATGATGTGATTAAGAGAGTGACAAAAAGATTGAAGTTGAAAAGAGCAATTTTAAACTAAATTAGTTTACGTAATCTCTTACGTCATGTCGATCAGTCTTGCAACTGAGCATTAATTAGTTGAAATTATTATTATATCTTGTTTCTATTCAAATTAAAGGGTAATTAAACTATCGAGGTTTTTCCACACACTTCGTAATATCCTCAAAAGTAAAAGCTAAATCCTCAATTTAATTTTTTTTGGATATGCAAAAATAAAATCATTAACAGTAAGTTTAAGAAATTAAAAAAACACCACATGTATGCATTTAGATGAACCTCCCTTGGTGTATAAAATTTTTTTAACAGACAACACACATGGTGTTGGGTCCACACAATTTTTTTTAATACATGTGCGGCCCGGCTCCTTGTGCAAGGCCCCCGTGAACAAATCCTCTGTACAATTGAAATTATTTCTTCTACATGCCCTTCTCTCATGTGTAGAAATTCATTTTTCTATCTAATCGTTGCACAAGTACAACTTCAAATCAATGAGTTGCAACTAAACTTGAACCGGGGTCTTTTTTTCGATAACGATGTTTTATTAACCATCTAATCTAAAAGTTAATTGTTAGAGAAGAATCGCATGTGCTCATTTAAATTGTGTCATCGAGAAGGATAAGTCTTTTTGAGTAGTTTGAAATTTCAGATATGTAATGTAAAAGTTTGATGAAAGCTAGAATCTCATAACTTGCTTGATACACTAATAAATTTAGTGTCCGATACACGTATCCCTCCTATATTACTTGGACAAGTACTTTCATTTTCTACACCTAATCGTGACATCTTTTTCATCTTCTACATATAAATAACAATACAAAGTGACATAGAAACCTCGCGATGGAAGTGGATTGAAGTGATACGAATGATTTCCCCATCTCTGCCACACACACACACACACAACTCAAGTTCCTTGAGTTGCTGAACTGAGTAGAGTATTTTTTTTGTCTGCTGATTTGAAGGTAATGAGGCCTAGCATGAACAGGGTGCAGTTTCTGTTAATAAGATACGAAAAAACGGAAGTAGCATAATGATACTTGATGAACAGGGTGTAGTTTCTGTTAGATTTTGCTTGTCGCAAACAAGCTTCTGCTTTGTGTGTAGTCATTTAGCTTCAGGCGGAAAAGAAGGCGATGAGAGAAAGAGAAATGCAGATGCGCCACGAATATTGTCGCACACAATCTTCCCTACGAGCCCCTTCCAAAATTTATTTATCTTTAGAGATCAGAAACGAACTTTATTTTCAACTTAAATACTTTTTGAACGGGAAACTCTTATTACAATGCTGGTGTCTTAATTCATACAGTCGGGTGATTTGGCTAGGAGACTTGAACTACAGGATAAACCTGCCAGAGGCTACGACAAGATCCTTAGTAAAGAATAAGGAGTGGAGCATTTTATTACACAATGATCAGGTAACTAAATATAGAAAAAGAACACCTTCAAGATTTAAAAGAAACAAATCACACATAAATAATCTGGATATAAGCAATATAATAATTTAGTTATTTTTATTTGAAATTTAAAGCTGAAGGCTGAGCTAGCAAAGACCATGTCTTTGAGGGGTGGCATGAGGAGGAAATCAAGTTCGCACCGACATATAAATACAATCAAAATTCAGATGATTATTATGGATGCAATACAAAAATAAAAGAGAAAAAGAGGAGATCTCCTGCATGGTAAGTTGCTGTGGAATATGATTTCTTCATTCATATTAGCGAACTGTATCGATAATTTGACGATGAAGAAAGTTATGCAGGTGCGATCGAATAATTTGGTTTGGCAAGGAATTGAAGAAAATTCAATATAATAGAGGAGGAATGGGACTATCGGATCACAGATCCGTTCAAGCAATTTTCACTGTAGAGGTTGATGTCTTGTCAAACAAATTTGATGATTTATGAAACTATTTCACAAAGAGTCTTGCTACAGTGACATGCTCAATGATATATTCAAAAACAGGGGGATACGTGTTAACTCATGATTAGACAGTTTAAAAAAGAAAAAACACCTAGGTGCTGCCACCCCACCCCTATCAAAAGCCCCTATTCAAGGAGCATTATTCTTTCACATAATGCATTATTGACTAATTCCTATTTTACGACCATATGTGTGACATTTTTATTTTTTTGTAAGAAAAGCTTTTTATACATATTGATCTTTTTTTCTTTACAAGTATGAATGAATATATAAAGTAGCTGCATTATCTATATTTTCCTATACAGACATCACGCCTAAATGAGTTGGATTGAAAACAAAACTGGTCCTATGATTGAGGGATTTGTATCCCAAACTTCCTCCTATGATTTATTAGAACCCAACTCACATCAGCACTTCCCTTGAAGTTTGTGCATATAGATCTATGATGACCGACTTGCCTAGTGAGTTGTGGAAGCTCTTACCGCATACAACTTTTGTAAATATATCTACAAACTGGTATTCTGACTTAATGAACGGAAATCGAATTATCTTAGCCTCAAGATTTTGTTTGATAAAATGTCAATCCACAATCATGATGGACAAGATTATGAGAAATGTCAATGGTAGCCTTGTTATTGCAGAATAGGTCCATTTCGTAGTTTGGAGCAAAGCCAATTTCAATTAATAGTCTTAAAATCTAAATTAGCTCGTAGAGACCTTTAGCCATTCAACGAAACTCATCTTCAGCACTTAATAATGCCACTATCTTTTGCTTCTTACTCCTCCATGTAACTAGGTTCCTTCCAACAAATGTAAAATAGCTAGCGGTAGATTTTCTATTTGAAATATTGCTTGCCCAATCAGCATCCGTATAGCCTTCAACCCTTAGGTGATTGCTTTTTGAAAGCACAAATCCTTTTCCAGGAGAGGACTTTAGATATCGAAGAATTTGAATCACTGTATTCATATGTTCTCCACTTAGACAATGCATGAATTGACTTACTACACCTACTGCATAGGAGATGTTAGGTCGTGTATGGGAGAGATAAATAACCTTCCCTACCAATCTCCGGTAACTTCCTTTGTCCGTTGGTACTTGGTTTGTGTATTTTCCAAGTTTGTGGTTTTGGATAATTGGTATATCTACAAGCTCACAATCCAATAATCTAACTTCTGATAATAAATCTAAAATGTATTTTCGTTGGGAAAGGAATATGCCTTGCTTTGATCTAGCAACTTATATTCCCAGAAAATATTTGAGTCCTCCCAGATTTTTTCATCTCAAATTGTGTTGCCAATTGATTTGAAGTCTTACTATTTTTTCTGAATCATCTCCTATAATAATCATATCGTCTACATAGACTATCAACGTTGTTATCTTACCCCGTTGATGTTTTAAGAATATAGTATGATCTGAATTAATTTGTTGAATAATGTATTTCTTCATTGCCAAGCTAACTCACCAAATCATGCTCAAGGAGATTGTTTCAAACCATATAATGCTTGCTGTAACTTGTACACCACCTTAGCTTTGAAGGTTGCCATATATCCTAGAGGAACATCCATGTAGATTTCTTCTTCAGGATTTCCATGAAGGAAAGCATTTTTAATGTTAAACTGGTACAATGGCCAATCAAGATTCTTTGCAAGTGATAGAATAACCATAACAGTATTCAACTTAGCAACTGGTGATAATGTCTCTTGATAGTATATGCCATATGTTTGCGTATAGCATTTCCCTACTAGTTTTGCTTTGTATCTCTCAATTAATCCATCAGTTTGTACTTGATAGAGAATACCCATTTAAATCCCAATATTTTTTTGACCTTCAGGTAAAGGAACAAAGAACCATGTCTCATTCTTCATTAATGCCTCCATTTTTCCTTCATAGCTTGAACCCACCTAGGGTCTTTCGAAGCCTTATCAATAGTTGTGGAAATATGGCTTGAAGAGAGTTCATTCACAAAGTTCTTGAGGGGTTCAATATTCTATTTGTAGATACATAACTGGCAATCGAATATTTCGATCTTTGTTCTTCAACTTCAGGAGAAGTATCCACATCATTAGAAATGTAAGGTGTGACAAGAGAGTTAACCTCAACGATAATCTTAGGAGATTGTTCGTTGGATACTGAGGAGTGGGGGATAATATTTCAGTTTCAGGAGATATTGTCGTCTATGTATTAAATTTATCAGTGACTGATTAGAAGCATTAGATGTTGTATCGGTGATATTGAACTAGTTAAATTTCAACCAATTCAGCACTTAATCTTGTGTCTCTCACTGAAGAGAAGAATTGGATGTGGTAAGAGAGTAAAAAGTGTTAGATTTAAGAAACGTGACATCTATATTCACATAAGTGTGTTAAGTAGTTGGATCAAAACATTGATGCCCTTTTTGATGTACTCCATATCCCGAAAAAAGTGGCATAAGGGTTAAGCTTTGTACGTTGATTCTAGCGAAGGTGAACGAAGGCAACCCAACCAAAGATTTGAGGTGGAAGCATCAACATCGTGGGTAATGTCATATAAGTTGATAGAGCATGTAGTGGAGTTTTAAACCCAAGGACGTTGGATGGTATGGATGGTATTCCATTAATAAGATGTACTACCGTGGCAACTACATCAACCCCATGAAAGCTAACCACATCAGCTTTTAAAAGACAACGAGCAGTTTCAAGGATGTGGAAATTTTTATGCTCAATGATACTATTTTGCTGAGGAGTATGAGGGTAGGAGGTCTCATGAATTAGTCCATGGTAGTGGAAATAAAAATGAAACTATTGATTTACATATTCTCTCCATTATCGGATCGAAGAATTCGAATCTTAGCTGAGAACTGAGTTTGAACCATTTTATGAAAGTATTGAAATACATTGAAGACTTCATCCTTATGTTTCAAAAAGTATAGCTATGTGATTCGAGTCCAATTATCAATAAATATCACAAACTAGCGAAAACCATGCATAGTAGGTTTTAGGGAAAGACCTTACACATCAGAGTGAATCAAATAAAAATGAACTTCACTCTTATTCAAACTTAATGGATAAGTGACTTGGTCACTTTAATCTAAAATGCAAGTCTCACATTTAAAATTTAAAATTGACAAATTCGAAAATAAATTAGGGAATAAATGTTTCAAATAACCAAATGAAGGATGGCCTAACTGACGATGCTAAAGCCAAATTTGAACCACTTTGGGGTTGTTCAAGTGATATATGTGATGTGCTTGGCACACCTCTCTTATACCACACCCAATGATCTCCTTAGTGAGAATATCTTGAATACGACAAAGTGTATGATAAATGAGCACAACACAATTAAGGTCTTTGGTAATTTGACCCACTGATAGTAATTTGTGGGAAAGAGAATGAATGAGTAACGTGTTAGATAATGGTAGGCTGGTGATAGCATCACAATACCGCCCCAGTTACCGAATAATTGACCCCATTTGCATTGGCAATACTAGTTCATCGAGGAGAGTAGTGTTGAGAAAAATCACTTGCATCAAAAGTCATAGGTCTGTAGCTCAAGAGTCGAGTATCCAAGCATCACAATCAACTTTTCTATTAGACTCGAGAAGAGCAGTACTTCGGTGAGTCTGAAATATTGGCTAGAATGAGGAAAATATTTAGTTTTGCTACAGCTATTGCAGCTTTGCCTGTGCCTCCAACATTCTCGGCCGTATCATGGCGTTTTCTAGCCTGGAGTTCATGCTACCAATCAGGGTACCCGTTTAGCTTGAAATGGTTTTCACGACTATGTTTTACACTCCCACAATGACTGCACTTAGCTTTATTGGAAGCGGCTCCTGATTGATTGTTTTCTTGGCATTTTCTCTTGCGTTCTTCTCTGTTAATTATCTGTTAAATTTTAGCCGACATGTAAGATTTTGTAGGTAAATGTAAATTATAAAAGAGATTTTTGTAGGTGAATGTAAATTATAAAAGACAAGATAATGAAGAAGATGAAGAATCGATTGATAAATTGAATCAATAAATTCACCTTAATTATAATCATCAGCACCAGTACAAATATATAGAAGGAAAAAAGGGGTAAAAGAGTAAAAGAATTATGCTAACAAACTAACAGAAAGAATCTAATTGCACCTAACTATGTGCATAGCTCAAGAGCAGGGAGTGAGTTGATAGGTGTGGCTCCTTATAGAATATTTACAATCCCAGCTGATATGTTTATTCAACTATACATCCTATCAGATAAGCAAACAAGGTTGATAAGCTATTTACATTGTAGGTTCCAATAGCCCCCCTAAAGATGGAGAATAGATGTTTTCTATTCCCATCTTGGATAGGTGAGCCCTCAAGGTGACAAAAGACAATGCCTTGGTGAACATGTCTGCAAGCTGCGATTGAGTGTGAATATAAGACGAAAAAATGCATCCAGATTTGATTTGATCTCTGATCAAGTGACAATCTGATTTTATATGCTTAGTCCTCTCATGAAATACCGGGTTGGAGGCAATATGTAATGTAACCGATTGTCACAGTGTAAGGTTATAGGTTTGGGATTCTCTGATCAAGTGACAATCTAATTTTATATGCTTAGTCCTCTCATGAAATACCGGGTTGGAGGCAATATGTAATGTAACCGATTGTCACAGTGTAAGGTTATAGGTTTGGGATGATGAACTTGATGGACCTTTAGGATGTACTTCAACCATGTAATTTCACAGCAAGTGCTAGTCTGTACTCCGCTTCAGCAGATGAACGAGACACTATGGTTTGTTTCTTGGACTTCTATGAGATCAATGAATCATCAAGGAAAATACAATAACCAGTTACTGATCTTCGAGAATCAGGGCAAGCTGCCCAATCAGAGTCGTAGAAGGCTCAAAGAATCAATGAAGATGAAGAAGAAAATAGAATACCTTGCCCTAGAGCAAGCTTCAGATACTTGATTACCTTATGGACTGCATCAAGATGTGTATAAGTAGGTATTTCCATGTACTGACTGAGGTTCTGAATG